GCTGTGCCTTTGTCGTGCCGATCAATGTTGCGTCAGAAATAGATTGGAAACAGTTCACTACACAAGATTGCGATGTTTGCGTCTGTACTACAGTAATACCACGTTCCATAAGAAACATGTCGTGCGCTGCAGTTGTGCAACATTTAAATTATGGCGCCTAGCAAACGTTGTACCTTCAACCTTTTTTTCGCCTTTAGTACACGGTTTCCTAGGCAGCATGAAATTCGAAACAGTAGCCTCACGCTGTTCCTTGTTGTGACGATCAATGTTGCGTCAGAAACGTATTGGAAATAGTTCACTACACAACGTCGCGATTTTCACGTCTGTACTACACTGATACCACGTTGCTTGAGCAACATGTCGCGCGCTGCAGTTGCTCAACATTTAAATTATGCCGTCTAGCAAACCTTGTACCTTCAGCCTTTTCGGACTTTTAATACACAGTTCCCCAGGCAGCATGGCGTTCGAAACAGTAGCGTGACGCTGCGTGTTTGTCGTGCCAATCACTGTTGTGTGAGAAACATATTGGGGACTTTTGCGCCAAATCTCCCAACACTCCAACAACATTCGGAACATTCTCGCAACATATCTACAACATATCAATGTTACTTGCAGCTTACCATGAGCCAGCTGAACAAAAAGTACGCCAAAAAAAAAAGAAAATCACCGTTTACACTGCTGGACTTGCAACTGTTTATTGCTCCTCTTTTTTGTTCTCTATCTTTGAGCTCAACTAGCTCAGGCGAAACCCGTGACATTGTATGGTAACGCATTGCACGTGTCCAATGCTCGAGCTGGGGCCGTCTGAAGTACTTTCGGTAACGCGGATGGTATCAAAGTGAAAAAGCGGAGAGCTTTCGAAGGAAAGCAGGTACGAAATACTCCACTGTGCTTCAAACTTTTCGTACCGAGAAGTAGGCTTTCGACTTTCTACCCTCTTTCTTTTGACCCACTAAACAATGAGCTCTTAGTAAGATTGCAATCTAACTTTGTTATTCAAGCTCCAAATTCATTTCATGGCCCCATTAAGGCTTGAGATAGCTGGCAGCAATAAAAATAAGTAACAAGATGGCTGACCTGTCGTCACTTTAAAGCGTGACTTATCTGATGGCTTGAGTTCTCCCTATATATGGTGGAGCGCGTGTGCTCGAGAACCATTTGAAAATCTCAGAAAACTCGATGCATAAGAAGATATTTCAAGGCCCCGAACCACGCGGATGTGTTTGTCAAGGAAAACATCCATATTGCCAATACGCTTTTATTCAGAACATATCTGTGATGCACGTGCAGTAAAAAAAAATACTTTTGTTAATTTATTAAAATTTGAAACACATTGCGAAAAAAATTAGAACACGTGAAAATCGTCTTAGAGTATCTTTGAAAACCGAACGTATTTACTGTTCGGAGACTGCAGATATGGTTTGTACCGCAAGTACTCTTGTCTTGTTTTTGTTTCTTAAAAATGGTGTATAAATAAATTTTCAAATTCAAATTTTTGCGAGACTTTTTTTTTCACAAATGGTTAAATTTTTATATGCCTGGAAGAAAGATCTATGTCGCTCATTTAGTGCGATCTTCGGCTGTTTTCTCTCGCGGGTTTTCGTAAATTAGCCTTAATATAAAGTGAGGTATGCAATGTTTGAACAGCAAAACAACTAGTCAGGGACGCTCATTTTTGTTCTTAAACTTATGTAATTGACAGAAAGAGTAAAACTTCATTCGTGTAGGCTTTTTAATAATATTCATAAAGAGAAAGGCAGTGGTTTGTGAAGCACGTATACCAATGAGTGGAGTACAATTGTGAGGGCATATCAGAAAAGAATGATTGCATATCACCTAAATTATTAACCCCTCCACCGATCCACATGAATAATGTTCTAGTGACGATTTTTCTCCCTGTTATCAAAGGTCGTGCAAATTCACTCATGAATTCGCTTGATCACATTCAAATTTACCGCGCGATTGTGATTGAACTTGTTACGTGATGGTGACTAGCTTCCTAAGGTTTAATTATTGTATGCTGTAGCGGTAAATAACTTCGGGAGCCCTGATGAGTTACAGAAGGGTTTGGATTTGGGCTAGTTGGTTGAACATGTTTAGTGTTTTTTCCAATAGTAAACCAGTTGCTAGTAGCGCTCTGTGGTGTGTGTCTCTCCTACTCGCCCGTCGTGTTTAGGGCTTTTAACCCCTAAACCTGATGAGTTAACTGCTCCGTGAACCTTATGAGTTCCTGACGTGCGCACATGGTAGTGAGTGGCTATTTTAGGAGAGATTTTGCACCTTTGAAACACTAAACAGTGAGAAACTCCCCATTTTTAAAAATTGTCGGTCTTTCTCAACGCGAATCCAATAGCAATGCACTTACGGTGCACTTGAACCACAACGCTTAAATAAGAATTTTGCCTAATATTTTATCGCATACTGGCAAGTGGGTGTTATTGGTATAAAGCAAAATTATACACCTGTGACGGCAGGACATTATGGTTACCTGGATCCACGACGCCTGCATGCCTTACGGTGATATAAAACGACAATGTTTGCTTGGCTGACTCAATTTCGATTGATTCTGACCATCACTCGGAATCAGTCATTTTAATTAATGACCTTGTAGTATAAAATAACTCAATTTTATTATATTTTATTATTTTTTGACATGTATATTGAGACTCGCAACTTCTTGTGGTGTTTCTAAGGTTTAGTTTTATCGCGAGAGTGCGTTATATTTCTCTCGTTTGTTTGATTGAATTGCATTAATTATTGTGTTACACGGTCCTTACAGAATATGCCCTCAAAAGCATGGCACTATGACAAAAATTTAAAGAAAGATCCATTGGTAAATCTTTAGGGAAAGCGTTAGCACTACCATTGGGAAACGCCACACACGCCTCCTTTGGGAAACGTTAACGCTGACCCCTTCACTTTTCTCTTTTGGTTTTCTCTTTTGGCTTTCTGTTTCGCTGCCTCTATTTTTTTGCTGCCACTTTTTGGCTTCGTTAGGGGGTCAGTGCTAGCGTTTTCCAAAGGGAGGCCTGTGTGACGTTTCCTAGGGGCCATGCTAAAGAATTCCCTAAGGATCCAGCGATGGATGTTCCTTTGACTTTTTCCGGCTTTGGGGGTTTCTCTTTGAAGCGTGTTTTGTGACGTATGCTGCGTATAATTTTTTCAGAAGCCACATTATATGTTCTGTACCTCATTTTACGTACACACGAAAGATTCTTTATAAAACATTTTTATTTGCGCATTTCTGGTATGCTTTGGCGATTACCGGAGCCTCGGTTGCATGTGCGGCCACCTCAGCCTCGCAAACGTCTGGATTCGCTCGCCGAGTCCGCTTCGCCCCAGCCTCTGTCGCACGCAGACCATGCAGCGTCGGCTTGCCGCATCTTGTGCCGCATTTCGGCTAGGCGAGCTAGGCGCTGCATCTGCTCATCTTTCTTGTTCGCCCGCCTTACAGGCTTAGCAGCGGCATCCGCTGCCTGACGCTGTTTTCGCTGTTCGCCGGTTTCGGCAGCCAGTCTCCTTCGTTCACAATCCGTCTTCTGCCGCCTGCTCGGACCAACTGCTCCCACCCCATTTTGTACCACATAACAAGGCATACGAGCTTCCCACACCTGCAAGTTCAAACTCGCCCCAGCATCCGCAGGCGCATTGGCTTCCGCCCCGTGAAGTCGCCCCCCTCTCGCTTTTGTCCTTCACTACTCTTCTACTCTCTATGTGGCGTGCTTCCTTTTACACTGTACTGCGTGGATGAGAGTGGTCGCAGCCTTCCCATGTCACCCCACAGAAACCACAGCGAAGAAACGACTACATGTGCAGGATTGTACGACGTAACCTGTGTCAGGAGCACGCCTTGGTCGGGAGAGAACAGCAATTATTATTATTATTTATTATCATTATTATTATTATTATTATTATTATTAGTGAAAAAAAAAGCGAACCAAAAGGAGCCATCGGCATCGACGGAGTGCGTAGTCTCTACGGCCGCGACTAAGAGGGGACATTAAGCACTTCGACAAACACGGCGGTCTACAGAGATTCGGCGACACCTTAATTGATGTTGGTGGTGCTTTGCTGACTATAATATTTATGTCCGATCGAGACATCCACATGCATTAACGGAGCATTACAAGTGAATTTTAGGAGTTTGTTCGGATACCTCGGATAACAACACCCGATAAAGATACGAAGCATGCGCAAAGGCGACTGGGGTGTTGTGATCGGATGTATCGGAAAGATATACTAAAGCTCACTATTGTGAAGTATAACATTTATACACTATTCTTTTATTATAATCAGTGGTTCATCATAGGTGGTTTCAGGAATTCTATTTTTAAGGCCACATGCTTTTAGTGCTTTGCCAACTGCTTGGAGTTTCAAAACTACGCTATCGTGTTTTGTGCTCTATGCAACGTGGTGTGCTTTTTTATGCATTTTGTTTGCATCGTGCTATTTCTTTTATTTTAGTTGATTGCGGGCTCTTTTTGTCGTGTCTTACTCTATCGTGCTGACTCAACCTGTAATTCATTAAAGAGACTTGCTCTGTCATTGTTTTTTTACCTATTGCTGCTTTATTTTCTATACGCCGTCTCAAACAGGATAAAGGAATCCTAAATTTCTCGGGTATGCTCTTGTTTTGTAGTAATGTTTTTGCTTTATATGTGCTTCACGTAAAATACAATATAGATTAATTTGCGTCTTACAGTACCTGCGAACGCAATGTCAGTGTTCAGACGCGCTACTTCTTTTGTTTTAAAGAGATATTTCATCAAGCACGAACGTTAGTAGATGATAATAGTAATTAATCTTCGAATGTTATATCAATTCATTTTGATTTTGTATGCGTTATTTGTAAATTGCTACATATTTTAGAAGGGCCGCGTGTAAACATATATTCTAAATGTGCCTGATGACTGATCTGTCCACAAGCCAAATTTATTAGGTTGTTGTGTTAATCCAAACGTACCGTGTATGTGGAATACAAAGTACAGATACACTGGTCATTTGTTAAATATTATATTACTTTATTTCTTGCATATAAACTTGCTTCTCAAAAGATTAAGAATTGACGGCACAATACTAACAACCTCAAGATGACATATCGTTACCCCAGATTGATGTTAGGATTCTTGAAATCTATACAGCTTGAATACAATAGCCTTTGGCCAAGGGCTGATGAGAGAGGGATATTTTTAGGATGAAGGTACTCAGTCTTAAGCTGTTACTTAATGCTGCGAGAGTAACAGCTTGTTTCGTTGTAAAAGGCCTTCGGGTACCCGCAGTATACGAGGAATACAAACCAGCATTCCTCCAGGTCAGTGGTGGGGTCTGTATTGTTCTTAACAAACAACTCACAAGCTGAAAAGTCCAGAAAATAAATTATCGTAAATATGTAAACCAATTGCAGGTACAATAAAATATTAAAAAAGACGTTACGTTTTCTAGTGACTTTTTTCAATTAGAACGATGATTTCAAAATGCAGACTCCACATATTGTATATTCACCTCGTAGTTATGATGCTATCCCGTTGCCTTGATGGAAATATTAATATAGATTATACTGTGACTGTCACCATCATAAGCACGAGGCAGTAGATATATGTATCTAAAAGCGAGTTACCTCATTTAATGTACTCAAACCTATTTTTTGGCTGAGAGCCATATCCTATGCAGTTTTGTACGACACGCTAGTTGTGATGGTTGAATGGGACTAAAGAATGAGTTCAGGATCAAGGCTGGTTCACAGATCCGAATTTGAGTTTGATCGAGTGCTGGCACAGTGGCGTCACCCGTTCGTTATTTATGGGGCTCCCTTCCATCTGTGCATAAATCTATATTTTTTTACGCATCATTCGTTTAGCTTGTGCTTGAAATAATTCTCACATTACTTTAAGCGTCCCTTTTCCAAGTGAAAATAATTTATATGAATTTATTTCATAAACATATCAAGACTTATAAGATAATATAAAAACTTATATAGGCCATATATGCGCAGATATGGCTTATACAACTTTTTATATCTTTACTGCAGTAAATCATATTATTTGTTCCCACTAGGGTTTTTAAGCCAAGTGTGTATTTGGTGAAAGTATAGAAATCTTGGGGCTATTATTACAGTGTGCTTATTTTCATTTCGAAAGCTTTTTCTAGGGGGGTAAGAGTTAGGCAATTGATGTCTTTATCGCTTATTTATCAGGCTCGGCGGACATTAATTGAGGCGATAATTATCATGGTAAAGTGACTAATTAACTAAAATTCATTCATTAAGCTTCCACTTATTAGTTTTAAGGGTCATGTTGCAAATGCAGTATTGCCGGCATTTACTATTACAGGCCAAACCAATTAAAATAATTTGCGAAAACGTTGTAGTTTTTTTTTATGTCAACTGATAAAGTTTCACGTTTCTTATCAGGATTTAAATATTGCGCGGAAAGCAAGATCGCAAGCCGTGCCCGCAATGGCGCTAGAATGAGCGACGTATTCGTTTTAATATTGTTGTAACGATCTTAGCAGCGTGTTCTTGTTGCACCGACAATAGAAAAAACGGCGTGGCTGAAATGACTGTTAGCGACGTGCGCAACCAAAAGCGTCGCTGTGGTCGAAGTTTGCGATTGGCCAAACCATAGCTTTCTGGCAGACTTGTACGTAGTTCGACTACTCTACTCAAGTTACTCTTCTTTAAATAATTTTCTGAGTAGTTTAGTAATTTTCAGGTCATTTTTATTTCGGTAGTTAGCAGTTTACTTTAATTACTTTTTCCGAATAACTTCCACTCAAATTACAAATTACTTTTGAATTTTAGTAGTAGGTTTGCTGGTCAACAAACGTTCCTGCGCAAACAGATGAGATGTCGGAAGATCAGCCGATATATGCAAAGAAGGAGAAGCATGGGGGGGAGGCAAGGGGGGGGGGGCTAATTTGGAGGGTCGAAAACCCTGTAAACTTTTCACGAGTCCCCCACTGCAACAACCCTGCTACGAGGCGCGGAGAGCGGACAGACACGTCGCAAGGGAGGCCCTGTGAATGAAAGATTAACGCCGAAGACTAGCATTTATTTGTGTCCAGAAGCTCAAGGAGACTTGACGTAGTTAAAAAATGGGTTTGTTCCCACTTCTCCTCAACGTAACTCTCGACAACTACAGGTAGTGTAGACACTGCAGCCTCACTCTAAAGAGTCAACAGAATGCAGCACCCGCTTTGAAGCCCATCTGGTGCTCCCGTAGTTTGTGCTTTACTTGAAGGATCGCGTGCTAAAGGGCAAGACAGAGCCTAGAGGTAACCTCTTTGCCTTGTCTTTCTTTCCAAAACTCAGCATATGCAGGTCTTCCAAGATTCGAAGATCGGTCGAAGAGCTTAATAATGCTCCAACGTTTCCTTTTTTTTTCTAAACAAAGAAAAGCTCCATTTGGAAGTACTTCAAGAACATGGTACTTAAAGTGCTATTTCAAGTAGAATTAGAAAACTTGGTATTTACTTGAGGTGAATTCTCTGAGCATGTACTTGTGCTTTACTAAAGAATTTTGTTCTGGTAATTTGTGAAGAAAGTAAAATTCCCAACTATAATGTACATTCTCCAAATTTGGAAACAAAAAATGGCGCCATCGTCATGTGAAAACACGCTATCGTCTTTGAGACGTCACCTGGTCGTTTCTCTGAGTGAAGTAATGACGGCTATCAGACCGATACAAATAAATGCCTTAAAAGTATATTGTGTTACCTAGTTCGTCAGCGCGAGTAAAACAACTAGACTGTGGCGACTTGACTTCATTCGATATTTGCCGCCATTTCCGAAAAGCTCTGACGCTCCTCCGATTACCCCTGGAGCAATGCATACCAGTTAAATTAAAGTTAAAAAATAGGGTATGAAGGGCATCATGAAAGATTGTTTTAAAAACTATATGTACTTTATTTAAAAATATGTTGTATCTATAGTCCATTACTTCACGTACATTGCACCCGGTGTACTTACTGTGCTTGAAGTGCATAACCTCTAATTGACTTTGTACTTTACTTCAAGTAATTTTTAGATGCACTCTACGCAACACGGCTAACAAGCAAACACACTCTGCAAAATCAAGCTCTGGCAATGCTAAACCTTAAAATAGAAATGATACATCCGTACTAGATCACTGACCAAAAAACAAGAAGTCCAAAACAATTCAGCTCACTGAAGCAGAACCAGCTTTTAAAGCCTTTATGTGAAAACACAAGCCGCTTCATATTTGGCTAGCAGAATCTTGCTAACGGAGCAAAACATTAAGACATTTATATACGTTATTGTTAGTGTAAAATATATAAAAGTAACTTCAAAAGTAATTCTCTCCTTTGTTACGGTAGTTAGTAATTTACTCAATTACTTTCCATTTGAGTGACTTCTACTCTACTCAAATTACTTTTGAAGCCACTACTCAGTAACTTTACTGAATTACTTTTTTTTAGTAACTTGTGCATGTCTGCTTTTTGGACACTGATAATGCATGCCCAATCGCCGGTTCCCGGGGAGGCAATCCTGCCAATCTCAGCGAAGCAAACCCTGGTTTGGAGCCCTCTCACGGAAACCGTAAGAGGGCGCCACTGAAACATCTCTCAGCTAATAGCTTCGTTTCCTGTCAATGCTACGATAGCGCATTGAGTTGAGAGGGAACCAATCACACGGGCACCGTCCCTCTGCTTCTGCCTCCTCTGCCCAATCATAATCGCAGAATATTAATTCGATGCAATACGATCGCATCTATGAACCCGCGGCTTATGTCACGCTTGTAACCGTTTTCGTGGGCGCTCTTTGTAGGCGCAATTTTTAAATCCGGCTTAAAAAACAAAACGTAAACACTTTATTAATTATTATTGAAAAAAAAGATGTCTTTGCCAATTCTTTCAATTAGTCTATCCTCTAATAACAATTCACGTCAAAACTGCAATTTCTACATAACCCCAATATAATAATCAATAAAAAGTAATGACCGGATTTTAGCTAATTAAATAAAATTGCCATGATGACATTTTCTAATCTAATATCCGCCGAGTCTGATAAATACATGGTAAAGAGGGCGCTTGCCTAAGACTCTAACCCTTATTTTAACAGTAATATATTCGAATTGAAGTCTAACAGCATGTATAGAGATCGGACACGTTGCCAAGGCTATCCGAGAGATGGACCCAGTGTGCCAGTGTGCTCTCACGTTGTAAGAGGTTACACGTAAGTACACCGCACTCCACCACACTCAAACGCAAATTTGTGAGTCAGCTTTTAAGACTGTAAAGCTTGCAAATGGAGGAAAGCAAGTTTTCGTATAACTTTGCTGTGTCGATTTGTGATACCGCAACATTAGACCCGTGATTTGCGCCACCCCCTTATCATATCAAGTTCATGTAATTAGTATACGTACAAGAAGCCGAGCTTTTGTTCTTGTCAACTTTCTTCAATACGTAGCAGCTCTTGAAATTGGACAGCAAGACCCGCCGCAGGCCTAATGAAAAGAAAAGGACAATGCACACATGGTTCGTGCAGTCAACATATCAGAACAAATGCAACTTAGATATAATAATAATTGTAGTGTAAGCACGTTTAGACAGTCGGAGATCAGTCTGTTTATCTGCTACTTGCCTATCATCTGTAGATGAAAAATTTAACTAGTGCAGTACAACCGCTCACCTGAAGCATATTACGCGTTCCATCAGCAGTCATACATAACCGCTTACATAATACACTTATAAGGCGCATGTAAGTTCAATATATGTGAAATTATATGTTATCATGCGCAGGTTAAACTTATTCATATAAGCTTTTTATTTTTATTACTACGGAGGTTATGGTAAATGTTATTCCCACCAACTATAATAGGAACGTTAAGAACATCGCATAAAGTTTACTGCAAACACGCAAAAGTCAAGTATCGGTTTGAGTGAACTGTTCGTCGTTTTATCGGCAAACTATTTGGCTAGCAGCGGTAGCTGCGCTCTCACATAATTGGAAACGAAGTATAAACCCCATTTTACATTGTCTTAGTTAAGCGTCTGCAGCAATATACTACACTAAGATAATGTATTCGTGAAGACCTTGTCTAGATGGCCGTTTTTCATGCTCTATGGGAGGCAACAAGGCTGTCATAAAATTAATTAGCGTTGTTGTATTACTAACGACTCAAAAAAACTATTTTCACTTTCTGCTAGCTCAAGCTACTGTTAAGTGCGATATATAGTGTGTGAACACCTAAAGCAGTTAATTACGAAGCACTGATAGCATCTTGACTCCGAAATCCGACTTCCTCGAAGCTTTAATTGTTATCGTTTGATTCGCCATTCGCTGAACTCTTTTCGCAAAGAGCATTAGTTGGGTATTACAAAAGTATGCGGTAAAGTAGCCACGCGGGATTTGTTAGTAAAAGGTTCGTAACATACATGAGACTTCGCCGCAGTAAAATAATATTGCGTACAAATTTGTTTTGAGGGTTGAAGGTGGAATTTTCAACTATTTTATATAAGGTTACTTTTTTCAAGGGACATTCAAAAAGTATTTCCTACGGTTATAAAGGTTTGCCACGTAACTAGCACAGTAAGCAACAATACAAAAAAGTACATTGCACTTAAAAACATCTACGCGAAAACGTATAGAAAGAAGGATACCATAATGATCCGAAAGAAAGATTTGGGTTGGAGAAATTGCATTCGTGTCAGAATAATAGTGGGGTACTCCGTATTCGCTTTTACTGGAAAAAAGAAACATAAAAAAGCAAGGGTCATATGGTGGATGTAACGAAGAAACAAAATTGAGACAGTGGGAATGCGTCCTCAAAGTTACCTTTGAAAGATTTCTATTCGTTAGGACGTTTCACAATATGAACGACTTAACTCTACGTAAGCGCAGGTGTGTTGTTGGTGACAGTTAGTACTTACTGCGTTACAGTTGCAGGCATCTGAGACAAATCTTAAATTCTTGCGTAAATAGTTAATATTTCGAAATTATCTCTGTAATACCCTGGTTTCAGTAGAGCGACAAAAGAAACACCGACACCGACAAGCTTCGAACACGCGCTGCCTGCACGCGAAGATAACTCTGGCAGTCTCTCAATCGCTCGTGCTTACTTCACAAGTACGGAGATATGGAAAGCCTGTCAAATATATACCGTTGAGTGCATGCCGCAAGTGCACGAGGTTTGTCGGTGTCGGTTGTTTTTGTTTGTCTCTCTAGTAGGAAACATTTATAACTAGTATTGTTTTCCTTTATTCAGTATCGTACCTAGGTACAAGTACGGAAAAGAAAGTGTAGTTTGATGCTGATGTGGAAAACCTTTCGATAGGGGTGTGAAATGAAATAATTAAGCTACTGATTAATTGATTAATTGACTAAAGCATTTACTGCAGTCTATATTTGAAACTGATTAGTCGGTCAAAGGTGAACCTGTTATGCAACGGTCACGCCCGTCGGCCTTGTCGTTGCCAAGCTCTTCATTAAAAATTTAATCACGGAATGATCTGCGGCTCACTGAGAACATGCAGTCAAATAGACCGAGTAAGCTCGTCTATACTCCGTTTCATATTATGTTGTACCGCAGCGAAGGCTAGAAGCGCGAGCTCATAGCGTCGGCAGCTGCCCTTGGTGCACGAGAGCTTGTGCGGCCGAGATGTGCCCTAGAGCAAGGAGCTCGCGCTTGTATACTTTCCTGCGGTACATCATAAGGTGAAACAGAGTACAAGCTATGGCATACTAAAGCATAGCATCTTACAAGAAAAGAAATCTTCTTTTGCGGTGAATTCCAGTTTTCACTTTACAACTGCCTACCTATGTGGAGGACGAGATCAGGAAGCACCTGCGCTGTTTTACTTAAAGTTCTCTGGTTTACAACTGAAATAAATAGGTATAGGTAACTTTACTTTGGCCAATATCCCATCAAATTTAAATCATGAAACGTGTGCCACTTAATAAAATAATATATATTTTTGTTGATAAATGCGAATTCTAATTCCCCTGTAGTAGTGGAGTCTCAGGAATTGTTCAAACTGCGCATAATAAATTAACTTTTATAGTTAAAATTTAGCATTATTCTAACGCTCTTACTAATTTGAGCGATTGAATAGTTAAGCAAAGGTCACCGTATACTCAGGTAATTATTCTTAATTGGTATGCAAGTATGTTTAGACGTTAAACTATATTTCCCCTTACAGGACACCTAAAGATGTAGTTATGTAAGCCCATACTTGTTTCAATCTTTCCGCGTGCATAACCGAGAAGGAATGCTTCTGCGGACATCTAGAAGATTAATGTTTTTTTTTACCCCCGAGTGTCAAAGATAAGGAGGCCAGAACGATCTTGCCTAGTCATTCTCGCCTTAGTTCACTCCCGCACATTCTAGGCCGAATATTCGAGAAGCCTAGTGTAGTAGATAAGGTAGTAGATAGACGAGCGCGGCTTTGCCGACTCACACCTACTCCCGACGACGAGGCGCATTCACACTCGAGCTTGTCAGCTGTTACGCCGACGCACCGTCGCTCGCTGCTGCCGCCGTCGACGCTCGCTGCTGCTTTCTCGAAGTTTGTCCTATTTGTTTCTGGGACAAGTTCGCCGATTAAACTTTTATTTTCAGTTCATTATTCATCTTCTTGTCGCCTTGATTCATGTAATTTCTGGTGGAGGTGCGGGGTACAGTCCATAGAGGGCACTTCTGCGAGGGCCTGCAGTGCTAGCTAGCTCCTCAGCGAAAGAAGATTTCAGGAGCAGAAAGCCGACACACGAGCAAGCCGACGCACTCAAGGCAAGTACCCAGGGCTTTGTCCCTTTCCAGCCAAGAGCAAGACAAAGCCGTCGACGAGACCAGGCATGACAACGCCAAACGTAGTCGTCCTACTTGTCGCGGCACGGACCCCGCATCCTTCCACGGTGACCGTTTTGAAGACGTTGAGGACTGGCTACAGCAGTATGAGCGAGTGGCCTAGTACAACCGATGGACGGAAAAACTGCGCTTAGAGAATCTGTACTTCGCGCAAGAACGAACGGCCAGGCACTGGTTTAAAAATCGCAAGACCTCATAAACCGGCTGCAAGAATCCGTTAAAACGGACGTTCACCAGCCAACATCGACGAGAGAGGGACGACGACCTTTTTATATGCGAACTCTGGGCCCAAACAAAACCTCACGAGCTTCGTTGAAGATGTCTTCCGCCTGAGCGTCCGTGCCGACCCTTAGAGGGGCACTGACACATCAAAATCATATTTTTTTTTATTATCCGAAACGATTGAAAACGATGCCGGGACATTACCCTCAAAATTTGAAATTTGAGAATTCAGTATTTGTGAAGTAAAAAAACAATTTCCAAATGCCGAATTCGAAGTTCCCGCGCGATCGGCGCCGGTGCCTTGACGTCAAAAATCGCGGAGACCTGAGAGTCGACTTTCTTTCACCACTCCCTGCTGTTGCCATGGCGACCCAAAGCGAGGAGGAAAGGAGTGAGCGGCGGCGTTACGGCGGACCGGTTTTGAGCGGTGTCGCCTGTTTTCCGTTGGAGGATACAAATCCAGGAGACGGCACCACAACGAACTCCCGATTTTTGGTATTTCAAAAAGAAGGGCCGTAGTGCGTTCGCAATTGCGTTAAAAAACATGTTTTACGATTGCCGTTATTAAATGTTATAGAGATGTCGCCTACAAAGCTTCTAAATTTCCTGATTTTTGACGTCACGGATCAAAAGAAGCTAGGAGGCGAAAGGCGGGAAAATCAAACGCCAAAAATAAAAAGGCGCGCGCGCGCGCGGGAAAATTTTTTTTCGCGATGCGGTTTTTTTTGCGTGTCTATGACTGCAACTTGCATCGTTTTAGACAATAAAAATAAATACGACCTTTGGGGTGTCAGTGCCCCTCTAGGCAACGGGCGAAAACAAGCTGCAAATTCTTATCCGTGGGTGCAGAGCGACATTTTCAGCGGCCTCGTCAACAGCACTCGAACAGTCGATAGGTTTCTGGCCGGAGCAACAAACATCGAGCGGGCGCTAGCGGTCCCAGGTCGCCACTATCATCAGCTCAATGGCGTCTCAACTCCGGCATCGGCCGGCTCGGAGCTCAGCACCAGCACCGACGAGCTTCGCGAGATCATCTGCGACGTTGTTCTCGAGGACCTCAAGAAACTGCTGCCTGCTGCCGGACCCCCGGCATCGCTGTCCATCGCCGAAGTAGTGCGAGACGAGCTTCAGACAGCCATCAAACCACAGGCTTCTGTCGACCCTGCGCCGTTGAAAAAACCGATGCTGACATACGCCGCAATGGTCCGACGGCCGCCGCCGGCTGCTCACCTATACCAGATGCCACCCCAACGTGAACCTGCAGCAACCAATATGGCCGACGGAAGGCAAAGGGTCGCTGTACGTCCATCGAGAACCACTTGCAGCAAGGAGGTCCATCGTATAGAAAACGGCCGACCAACGCCCCATCTGCTCTCACTGCGGGGAAACCGGCCACGTTTATCGATAGCGCAACTTCCGCCAGATGGGACTGCGAGAATAAGCGCCGAACGACCCTTGTTCCCGCCTTGGTGAGCGGCCTAGAAACATGGAAGAGTACCTGTGGCAATCGCCGTCTCCGGTGCCTGCTGAACCCCAATGGTTCACGTTCGGCATCCTCACGACGTCCAGTGTCGACTCTTCATATGTCCTGCCTACAAAGCCTGTCCCCCTTGCTTCTTTGGAAAAACTAAGCGCGGCAACCCCGAAAGGTGGCGTCGTTGTTCGCAGGCGAAGCAAAGATCATCCAGAAACGTCAGAGGGCGCCCACTCTAACTACAACACTCCACGGAAGAACGCCTCTGCAACGGTACCGAACATCCTCAACGTAGTTATCGACGGCCACGACGCGAAGGCGCTCATCGACACTTGAACATACTACTCCCGCCTCAGTGAAACGCTTTCTCGCCGCCCTCGGAAGGTTATGACGCCTTGGGATTGCCCAACAAGTTTACTCAACGTCTTGGGACTTGAACTACGAGGTGCTCTCCGACGGAACCCGACCTTCAGGACACCACCAGTTGCGACCAGAAGTGGTGCAAGTCATTCGTTTCAAACTGCATGTACCATGCTCGATAGGACTGAGGACTATTTATGGTTCAGACGGCCCCTCAGTTTACTGTTTGCCGTTTTTTTTTTTGTTGTTTAGCTTTCTTTTAATTTATTTAATGTTGCTTCGGGGCGATGAACTTTTAAAGATGGGAGTAATGCCGCGAGCAGAACCGAGCCGGAATGCTCCTCCGTACATCTAGAAGATTTTTGTTTATTCTTACCCTTGAGTGTAAGAGTTAAAGATGCCAGAATGACCTTTCCTAGTCATCCTCGCCCTACTCAACTTCCCTTCATTCTAGGCCGAAGTATTGAGAAGCCGAGTGTAGTACATAAGGAGCCCAGAGCGGGTTCGCCAACTCACACCTACACCCGACGACGAGGCCTTTTCACGCTCGCGCGAGCCAGTTGTCACGCCGTCATAACGTCGCTCGCTGCTGCCGCCGTAAAAGCTCATTGCTGCTTCCTTTTTTTTGTGTTTTTTTTTTTTGTTTTTCTTTGGCACAAGCTTGCCGATTAAAATTTTATTTAGAGTTATTTATTCAACGTCTCGTCGCCTTCACACGTGACAACACTGCGTTCGTATGAGCTTCTAATCTCGCTGAATTTTAAGACAAATAAAAGATGTGTGTAATTGTTTTGCATTTTTCTCAGTTGCGTGCTATATTTCAGAAGAACTAAGCTGTCCCAAATCACGCCTTGATATTTCAAAACAAAAAGTCTACCGTATAGATTTTTTTTAACGTCCAGTAGTGGGCCGAGAAGACTTTTATTTAATGAAAAACTTAGAAGGCGTGGCTGCGGTGAGTGAACTTAACCATGGTAATCCCGAATTCTTTATCGTGATCTCGTCCGAGTTAGTCCTCTAGTCTTAATTTCCAATTTTATTTTTTTAATATTTACATATGTCTTGATAGCATATTGTGAAATATGTCTTGATAGTATGTTCTTGTGCTTCGTCACAAAAAACAACGTTATTTTACAGTGTGTAAGTCCTTAAGTGGTACCTAATTACAAAACAAACTGTAGTCATACTTTCGGCCATTAATTATCCTTTGGAGCACCAACTCTGCCCTATCAGGCATTATCTTATAAGTTTGTATTCCACATAGTCTTGGCTCTCTTTTTTCGTATGTTGAAGCGTATACGTTTGCCTCTGGAATGTGGTACAAAACCTGAAACAGCAAATAATGCATGAATTCAAAAACGTAAATGACCTATTTACACTTACTTTGAGTCGATGTTGTTTTATTTTTAAGTCTTTCATGTTGTAATCTAACACACATAGTATTTGAAGTAAAGCAGGAATGATTCACCTAACGTTTTGAGATCTGTTTATTCTGTAATATTTTCACGGTGTAACCGGATGTTGGTTCTACCTTGGTAATATATTTTGAGAGTTTATTTGTTGGATTGCATTATACTGCAGCATGCGTGGCGAAGTTCGCAACGCACGTGACTGTCACGCGGACTAACGATGTTTAACCTCCCCTCAGCCTAGATTTTTTTTTCTAATTTTTTACTATTCTAGAAAGTTAGATATTGCAACGCGCGTCGCCGAGCGAGCGCATGTGTGACCGACTGGTTATCGTGCTCGGCTTTCGCGTAGAGGCCTGGGGTTCGACACCCTGGGAAAGACACGTCTTTTATTTAATACTTGAATTTAGTGTTCTCGTAATTTCGAGAACCTTCTAGTCTTATCTAGGTACGAACATTCTACGCGCCGAACGTTCTACGCCGAATGATCCAGAAACCCACGCGGGGTACATAAGGCACTCCGCATGGCGATTCCAGTCAGTCTCGCCCCAGCGATCGATCCTGATGTTTCGTAGCCATCGACGCCTGCTACGCTAGCCTTTGTCTATTTCTTTGCTTTATGGGCACACGTTGGCTTCATTAAACGTTTATTTTTCTTCAGATTTTATAGCCTCATCAATTGTCCCTCGTGACAATATCATTCCCTGCTTTCATGCAGTATTCTTTTACTGAACTTTACAGAATCAACCGCTTGCTTAAAAGCAACGGGAAGACACTACCTCGGGTCTGTTCCCTTCTGTCGCCAATGCTAAATATACAGTGCATTTTTCTGTTCAGTTAAAGGTACAAGTTCGCCTGATTAAATGTTTATTTTAAGTTTTACATTGGTGTACCATTTTCCACCTATGACAACACGGAGAGTGATATTATAAGATAATAGGTAAAGTGCATATACGTAGCTAGCCTGGAAGCTAGATTATTTGAGTTAGGCGATTTTCTTTCAACTTGCGAAGGAAACAAAAGGTTACATCCAAAAGTTTATACAAAGAATATATGTGCTGAGCAAATTTTTATTAGCTAGGACGAAACTGAAATCCGTTCTTGCTTCATATTTTTATTTTCGATATTTTGACCTCTAAAGGACAAATGGCAAACAGTGCGCCGCGGGCCAGTCGGACTGACTCTGCGGGCAGAATGTGGCCTGGAGGCCGGAGTTCAGAGACCCCTGTTATAAAATCAGTCAGAAAATTAAAAAAAAAAGAAGTTTTTTCCTCCAAAAATAATGTTTATATTTTTACTATTACATTGTCACTTTGGACGTGTTTCGATAAAATAACCCGATTTGACTATATTGAATTAATATGACTAAGCTTTCATTTGATATATAATTTAATGCATTAAAACAGTATATCCAAGCTAAGTAAGTTACCGTCGAAGAGGCCTGGTTCTGTAGGATTTGCATACGTAAATAAAACGAAAAGTACTATTTTTGGAATATGTGGCACTTTACACTGTACTTAAAAGAAACAGTATGTAAATGTTTTCTTTATTCTGCGGATCATATGTTTACCTTGCGAACCTCCCAAATACTCGACCTGTGAGGGTCACCTCACCCTCAAAATCCTGCTTGATTCTTGGAAGTAAAAAACTCGGCAAATGAAAATATAACGCAAAAACGCCTTTCTGTTTCATCCTGTACATCGTTACAGCTTACGTCCAGACGCAGTAGACACTACAAGCTAATGGGACCACTCAAGCAGCGTCAAAAACGCAAGTCATTGGGCCTTTTTCTGCTTATGATTGGTCCAGCGATGATAGAACATGAACCAAAAGCATGACGGACACCATGACGGCTCACTTTTGACGCTGTCTGGTTGGTCCCATCAGCTCGTAAAGTAAGCCGCGTCTTAAGTTAAGGTAAAACGAAGCAGCGATGCCTTCTACTCGCAGCCTCTTGGGAGGTTGAGGCGTACAAAATGGCCTCTGGGATGTTTTACAAAACCTGAAATTTCAAATAGTGAATCCAACAAGAAACAAAAATTATCATTATACGATGCCTTTGAATCGACATTGGTTGGAGTTGTAATTTTTATGTTGAAATAAAAACCAACTTTCTGCATGAAGAAATCAAAAAGGCCGCCCCAAAGTTTATTCGACGTGTTTATGATAGAAAAAAAACAAAAAACATGCGAGCATGCGTCTGATTTCTGTTGTACGTTTGCCACATCTTTTAAGAAAATAATTAATTAGAATTTAATATAGCACGCTAAATTATTTAAGATAAAATATAAACTGCATTTAATCCCACGATATGTAACTTGGAAGCCATATTATTCAAGGTCGTAGAGCATTTAACGCACTTAAAATTAAGTAGAGCCAGACAAAAGAGGTCGTTTTGCTAGATAACAGAAAGTTATCTCTCTGTTTTATACTTTCTGTTATCTAGCACATCGTACCAACACGCTCGTTAGGTATATAAGAGGTCGTTTACCTTAGTGATCATCTGAAATTCATTCATGAAGATCGTGTCCTCTTTTAAAGGATGTGCGTGTTGAATTAACATCCGAAGTGTGTGCGCTTCTAGTATAAAGTCTTCATCACTTGAGGATTTGATAGGGTTTGGCCATACATCTAATAAACAAACAATAAAAGTGCATTTGTATTATTCACTGTGAATTACCTATTAATGTTGCGCTGTTTATCTGCTTTAGACTTGTGCCTATCGTAAATACAATACTCAATTAAAATATTGTATTTCTAACACGTTTGGCCGCATTTTCGTATCTCACAAATACATTTAGTCTAGAGTATTTGCTTCTCTATCTTAATTACATATTCACTGTCTTGTCCTCAGTATCTCAAATAGCTTTCGCAACCTTGGAAAAAAATTCGCCAAAACAATCAACGAAGTATGGATCGTCGAACTGCGGGGCAAAGCAGAACCGATCGAAGACCTAGAGCAAAGCGACCGAGCACAGTACATGAAACAAGGCACCAGAAAAACGGAGCCTCCAAATGCTAACAAAAATCAAAATGGAGAGGCCAGAGTTCGCCCACCTCTATCTGTTCTCTTGCCCTCCTGACCACTTTCCTTTTCCTTTTTTTTTTGTTCTTGTTTTCCATGCTGTTTTTGTATGACACGTCAAGCTTAATGCTAGCAAAGTGCTGGTGACGTCATCCGGTTTCTACACTCAGACCCCTCCTTTTGTGCTCGTACAGAGCGCCAGCGCTTGGTAAGATCACAATGACCCGTTTTTGGAAAGCGAATGTACGGGAAGTTCCAGTATGCAAAAGTGTGAACACTTTTTCATGCGAGCACAGGCACTCCTGCTGGCTTTATTATGCTGCAGTGTCCTATACCCCTTTTCGCCTTAAGAACCGTAGGAAAAAAAAGTTATACTCTTTGCTGAGCATTACACATTTCACATTTTAGAGAGAGAATTATTATATAGATAGGTGCATTTTAGATTATATATATGCCGCCTTATAAAGACGTACACGTTTCAAACGCCAAAAAATTGCTTCTTCCTCCGACGACCGAATTTTTGTTGGAACTAGTTTGCGCGGCGTATGAACAATCCGCAAAACTTCACTTTTTCTTGACTTGAAAACAAGCATAGATTGGGCTTCCCCAAAACTCCTTGTATGCCTGCTGTGGCTAAACATTTGCTACGAAGCTTGTTCAGAAGCGTTTGTTTCATCTTACAAATGCGCGCATTGTTCCGTCCCCAAAATCTCCAAAACCAGCTTTCCCCCAGGTGGAGTCATTCATAAACTAGAGGATTATGATTCTGGAATCTTAACCATATTGACCTGAGTGCGTCAAGAATGCTTTGCGCTGGTACAGAAAGTGGCAGGCGAAGGGGATTGATAAGCGGTTTTGAGGACACTCTCCTGTGTTTCATGTGTTTCCCTCTTGACCTTCCTATTTTTTTACAGGTTGAAGGTACAGGTGCTCCTTCTCGGTTTTGACAGGAAGGGGGCGGGGGGGGGGGGGGGGGCGGACAAAATAGTCACTCCTCCTGAGCGTACACCTGTACCGTTCTCTCGTGTGCTCATCAACACGCCTGGTTGCCTGATCAACTTCTAGTTTGGCTGTCATGCAAATGCAATGTCTTGAGGTTGCAGCGCACTAGAGGAGAATAAAACGAAGTCAGACAAAGAGACAAACACAAGCGCTGAGTAGTGTTGTCAAGAGGAAGTAGAAGTAGAAGTAGAAAAAGAACACGAAGATGTTGTAAGTCGGCGATTGTCTGTCTCTTTTTGTGTGTCTCGTTTTGTTCTCGTTTAGTGCGCTGGAACACGTTAAATTACCAACTCATTCAAGCTTCCGTCTTAATAAACTTCATAAACAATGACGGATTACATGTCAAGTCCCCAGAATAGCGGCGGGGCATAAAACACACTTATAGCGGAATGCGTCATGAGCCGGGCCCACCTTCAGAAGCACGGCAAGTTCCATGTCTAGAATACTCGAGTCTCATTTGTTCCTAATGTATTAAGGCACGCATTATGTTGAATATACCGAATTGTTTTAGAGTGACCTTCAATTGCAGCAGCTCAGGCGCTTCTTGAATGTCATGCAGATCACAGCAAAATGTGATTTTCAAAGAAGTCATAAAAAATAGGACACCCCTTTCTGACTTTTCATTCTTAAATTACGAGCTTGCAAAACTTGTGAAGTATCTTCGAATGTAATTCAGTTACTTTTTCAAATTATTTGTACTCTACTCAAGAGAGTAAGTACTAAAAGTAATTTGAATACTACTCTAAATACATTTTCCAGTGGGTATTTAATGTCGTATCTTAAATATTTTTCGTATTTGCCACTACACTGATCTATGTTCAGAGGAGCTGAGACAAATAAGGAACATTATTTATAAACTTTGTTTCTTCTACGTAAGTTGGAGAATGGTGTTTTTGGTTCGGCTCAGCTCCTCTGCAAAGTTCATTTTCATTACAATTTTCATTCTACGAGACAATTCATCTGTTTTGATATGTATTCACCATGAAACATTCCATTCCTTTCGCAGGAAAGCTGTGATACTGTATTACAGTATCGCAGCTTTCGGATCTCTCATCTGTGTTTCAGTCTCTTTCTTCAGCCGTAGGTCGAGCTATCTTCTAGCATCTAACTTATCCTCTCTTTTTAGATTGTTTTAATTCATTTGAAACTGTGTGTTTTGTTTTCTTGCCTATAGTGTTCCTTTGGGCGTGTACCAATCAAAGTTCGTTGTGGCTGTTCTGGTAAATTTTAAATAAAGACTTTTTTTTATTAATATTCTTTATAATCAAGGTCTGTTAAACTACCACACATTCGTTTCCTTCATTTGTGTTTTGAGTTACGCTGCCTGTTAAGGTGTAATGTGAATAACTCCGCCATAAAGGCATCTTCACCGATGCCTCTCCAAAAAACAGCGTTAGTGAAAAAAACATAACTGGGCTTTCCCAAGCCGGCCGGTGTATTTCTTTAACAATTATTATCGTATATTTAATATCATGCTGAAATCAGAGTTCACCAACTATCTCAAAGTAGAGTAGAATAAAGACACTGAACAATATTCAGAAACCATCTCGGTGCGCGATTAGCATAATCCATTGTGCTGCTGCTAAGAAACTTCATACTTTGATGCACACAAATACAGAAGAAACTCTAACATCATATGGATCTTTATGTGAATGTGTCAGATTGTAATTTAGTTTGTAAAATGGAGTTCTAGCATTTGTTCCGACCTGGACAGCTTTTGGGGGCATTCTGTGAATTATAAAGTTTTCAAGAAAATATCAAAATTCAAATTGATTTACGTTCTATGATACACGGGAAATTACAGGCCTGGCGACCATTACGATATTTTGTCAAGAAAGCGAAACTTGATACTTTTGCGAATGTGGTTTAAAAAATTCAATGCCGAAAAAATTAGAGCCGTCGAATAAAAACTATGCTCGACCAAAATCTTAATTACTGCGTATTGATATTAAATTACTGTTATCTAAAACATTACCGGCAAACGGTGCGATGTGTGTTGCTGTTCAGTTGAAATTCTCAATTTAGTGAATTTGCCGAAGCGTTGAAATCTAGAAAATGGAGGGTGTACCTCCGATAGCGATGTTCTAAAACGATAGGATGGGTGCTTAGGAAAGTGTAACTATTATTTGTTTGTGCTTAGTAAATACCTAAATCGCAGTTTCGTCTTTATCAAAGGTCATCATTATTTATGCATCATGTAAACTCCTCCGTTTTTTGTTTTTTTTTTAAGGAATGTCGTCAGTCTTTATTGCTTTCACGTTTGTATCGTTTTAAGGTGCATTCTTTATTTATGATTTAGTGTATTAGTGCGATTTTCAAACTTGTAGAAACAAATTGGGGGTTATGCAGCCTAAAACTTAGTCTGCCTTAACAAGCAACTTTTCTCCCAACTGTAGATGAGAAATATTGCCCGCGCAATACAAACCGCTAGCCTAAGATCTTTAACGTGCACCCCACTGTAGGGATCCACGACCACACTCCGGTACGATGATGCTCATCCAGATAGAAACGGGCAGGAGTAGGGATTGATTCCAAGATCCCTGGGTTCTGCAGCGCGAGCTTTCGCTCCACGTTCTGCGACCTGGTGTGCTAGCCCACTCGGCCATAGAACCTCCCCCCCCCCTCCCAAACTTATAATATTAGAACATTCTGCATTCCCTAGAATGTATTTGTGTGGTCAAGTATGTTTATTGTTGTAATTGATTGCTGATATTTTGCCCCATCCTGCCAGCCGTAGTGGCACAGAAACATTAAAGATTTTTAAGGAACCGTTTGGCATCTCCTATTGGTACGCTTACGATTGATAATGATCACCAAACAACGTGGGCATAAACGCGTCCTCGCTTCGATCACACAAATTAATATTTCGCACGCCGAATCAGGAGTAAGAAGCTTGAAATATTACTAGAATGAACGGCCGGTGCGAACTTGAGGAATGGCGCGTAAAGTTTTGGCCGAGAAAGATCGTAATAAACGAAGACCAGGGAAAAACAAATAGGTCCTAGGGGTACATTGGGGAAATAAGTGTAGATATGTCATAAATAAAATTAAAAACACACAAAAAAAAAACGCCTGAAGTGGTCGAGTGCACTGGGCCGTCACCTTCCGGGGGCGATATACGCGAAGTTTTATGGTGAATTCTCCTCGCAGATCTCGAGTGCTCCAAAAGCGCTCCATTTGGAGCGCGCATATTGCGCTTGCAGTTTTTGCACGAGTTGGTAATCTTCCGCTCCTAGATCTCTGGCTGCGCCCGTCCCGCGGAACACCTCTAACGCCACCGAACTTGGTCGGCGTGATTTCAGACATCTTGGCGGAAGTTGACAGAAGCGGAATATGTTCTATCTATTCTGTTCTATCCTGATTCTGTTAGATTATTACGACGTTTACGTACCTCGTGTCGGGCTCCCATATCCGCAGTATATCCGGTAAATTGAGTGGCAGGGCGTATCATGCATGTTAATGCTATCGTTACGTACAACAAAAAGCTCGCAATCTGAAATGGCATATTTTTTTTGTAATTAGATTCTCATTGGTTTATGACAAGTTAACATCTCCGAATGAAACATTTTAAAATGGGTAACAAGCAATTAGACAAGCCCTGGCTGCAATTGGTTTATTCATAAAATCTGTGCTTTTTTTGTGTGTGATCCCATATACGAAGCTGCAATCCGACCCTGTTTGCTGTGAAGAAAAAGATTGTATTGCTTTTGATTTCTGTGACTTACACCTGCTGGAATCAGAACATATCGGTCGAAAGAGAGTGCTGCATCAGCGTTTGACGAGTACTCGGATCCAGTTACATATCGCGCCCAAGAAATAGTGACTGAAAATGAGAGGTATGGTAAGTTAGGCACAAAAGATGGGTACGGAATCATTTACGTACAGGGGATTAAATTGGAGGCTGAACATTTGAGTGTGAGGTTTGTATGTTTCTTGATTAAAATGCTGAGACTGATTCGCAGTCATGCTTAAAGAATATAATAGTGGCACATTGGATGTCCTCATTGATTTTCAAGATACATCTCTTCCTAGTGGTGCTCTTCAAGCGAGAGTGTTTTTAATAATTGGAATTGGAACAGAAATTGCAGAATTGGAATTAGAACAGAAATTACTGACCGCAACGGTCGGCAATTTCTGTCTTTGGGCGTACTTTGTACCTGACGCGAACTCAATTACCAATAACAATTCATGGGGAAAAAAGTACAAAACACAAAACATAGATTCGAAGCGTTTTTTGGCTTATGATGGCTGCTATATTTACATGTCAACAGCATCTATTCTTTGAAATATGCTTCTTCTAATGGCCTTGCACACGCCAAGTTGGCAACGACAGGTCAAGCACCGCGCTGCAATGCATTTTTATCTAGCAAGCCTGTCTATATGGGTACATTCTTTCCCCTGTCACCGTTTTCGGAGGTTCCATCCTCTCCTCACGACAAAAAATATTCGGCAGCTTCGTCGTCCTTATTTCGCCTTTTTTAACGATTTTTTTGTATTATTAGAAGTATGGGGCATACATATCAATCAAGAGTAATAGAACGGAACAATGCCAATCTATTCTCCCAGGCAGAGACATGGTGGGCTGCCCTTGATTTCTAGTTTGCAAACGGCTCCCCAAACGGCTGTCGTCACTGAAAACATTCGAGAGAGGGAGGCCCTCAGTCGGTTGAATCTGCTGAAGCAAAGACTACACAGGAGCTCTACACTGAAGAAAAGCCGATTTTATCCGCCTAAACCCAACTTTACGAAGGCTGTTTTATGCGGCCGACTTCTGTCTGAGGCACTAGCTGGGGGCCCTGTGAACCCTGGGCTACCGTGAAAGATTCGACCTCAAGATGGAGTCTACCGTATCTCGTATATGCGGTGTGGGAACTGACACAGTGGAGCACCTGGAGCTCTTCCGTGAGCGTCTGCTGCCACTTCAAACGGAGCAGCACCGGCTTCATCCTAAGAGGGTACTAGCTGACCATCTGGGTTCACGACGATGATGCCAGCCACCGGCAGCTCGGGTGCAAATGGAGCTAATCAAGCCAGTGATAATCGCAGCTCGGCCAGCGCTTCCATACTAACTGCACCTTGAGAGACGCCGCATCGCTCGTACACTGCGTGCAGATGACGATATTTAGGCTGGAACATTGGTAGCGTAAAATCAACAACTATTGTAAGTAGATGTTTTAATAGTTTCGCTAGAGCACGAAGATCCTTTGAGCTAGCACGCTGCAAAAGGAACAGCCACATCATCATCATCAGGTTCATTGCTGTTGTGGTTAATCGCTTTAAGAATGTCCAAGCTTTTTATATTAATGGTTTCATCGGTTTTGAAGTTTCCAAGTACACCAAGAAACGACAGTCAAAGAATGTCACCTTGCAAACGGTGCTTCTAGAATTTTCTTGACTCGACGTTTCTTCGCACGTGGGATGACGAGCGTAGCCAGTCAAATATATTATAAGTTGCCATTAAGAACCAGCGAGGAGCTTAAGATTTATTTTTCACCAAGGCGATCCTACCGTCCCTGCAAACAGGGTGTTTCATACGGTGCCTGCTTTTGCGATTATTACGCTGGATCAATACATTTGAACATAAATATCCAACTGGAAATTTAACGTTTTAGTACATGAAGGTATGGCTTAAATATGTCTGCCAGAAAACGTTAGTGGAGGTCTATGTTGAAAAACAGGAAAAAGGGAAACTCTGATGCGCATTGTCACCTCAACAAAACAGGGATAACCCATAAGCAGGTATTTCAAATGGCGCAAGTATTTCAATAATTTCAGCAATGGTGGGTATGACATTCCAATGTTGAAAATGAAAGTCACGTGTGGGATCACAGGAATGGTATGGGCAGTGGTCGCTTTTCCAGCTGCCTTGTTTCCAGAACTATCAGTATATCGGGTGTTTCAGCGAAGGCTTTCAAAACTCTCCGAAATATGGTGGTTAAGATAAAAAAAACGCTTTCCGGATACAAACTGCCTGAAACGGCGGACGCCAAGGATTGCCAAAAAACACTTTAATTGTCTAAGTGATTCATTAACATCTACTGATTCGCTTTTAATTTATAAAAGTAAATATATGACTCTATTTAAGAAAGCATAAAAACATCATAAAAACAAAAGCAACCCATCATAAAGATATAAGGCAGGAGTAGCGTGTTAAGGTGTTCCAATGACACGCTTAATTCGAACGCATTTCTAGGTTTCGAATCTTTATTGGAGGACATCTTTGCGCTTGCGGTCCTGCTTCCAAGTGACCGACCGCCACAGGGGAGCAGGACCATGGTCCTCACACCCGTAGTCACCACCAGATAAAAAAGCGGAAACCGTGGTTAGTCCCATTCTCATTATCACTCCGTAGCTAATGAGATTAGGGCATTTTGTTTAGGGATTAAAAGCGCTAAAAACGACGGACGAGTAGGAGGGACACACAACACAGAGCTCTGTGGTGTGTGCCTCCCCTACCCCTAAACATGTTCAAACATCTAGCCCAAATCCAAAACCCTTAGGGCATTCACCGATAAGAAGCTCGAAGGACCAATCAGAAAGCAGGAAGTGTAAGCATAAATGGTCACGCCCTTATTTCAATACCCTCCGGGCCAACGGCATTAGAGAGGGGAGTTGGTAGTATTCAACAAGAAAAAATTATACAGTGAATAACTTAAAGGCAAGGCACATGTTAGTTATGAACAGTAGAAATTACAAACAGCAGTTTTATACAAATCATCCGCCTGGATTGTCGCGATGGAGGTGGGAAGGCGGTTCCAATCCAAAGAAGTTTTGGGAATGCAAGATTGTTGAAATGTGCTCATGCTACATAGTGGTACATCTAATTTATGATGATGATCAAGACGGGATGAAACATAGAAATGGGATGGAGGAGACGTTGACTGAGGAGTGAGTTAATGTGAAATACTTTATGGAAGAGACACAAACGGGCTACCTTTCGGCATGAGGCAAGGCTGGGCAAAGATAAGTTAAATTTCATAGAAGTGACACTAGCAGTGCGTTTATAATTACTGAGGATAAAACGAGCGGAACGATTTTGTACAGCTTTTAGGGGGCTAACCAAATTTAAAAGGCTTGGGTCCCAGATAGACGACGCGTATCCATGCTATGAGGGTAAATGTGTTTTATAAAGAGTTAATTTCAAAGAGGAGGTAGCTAAAGAAAAATTACGTTTTAAGTAGTCAAGCATGCGATTAGCATTACTAATAACGTATCATTATGTATTTTCCAGGAAAGATCAGATGTTATGTGAGCGCCCTGGTACTTGTAATACGACAAAGAAAGTAAAGGAACATTGTTAAGACAGTAGCAGGCAGAAACCGAATGATTACGAGACACTCTCAATACTTTGCCCTTAGTTGTGTTAAGCTCCATATGCCAAGTTTCACACCAATGAAGAATAACTTTAATGTCTCGCTGGAACTTGATAACATCTCAATCTTCATCAATTTCACCCTGAATGACACAAGTATTTGAAAAAAGGTTAATTGAGGAAGAAATGTTATTCGGCAGGCCAATAATGATCATCAAAAACAGAAGTGGGCCTAATACAGAACCTGAGGCACGCCGGAGGTCACTGACGCGATTGGAGATGTATGGTTCTTCGCGGTAACGAAATCGAATCGGTTAGTAAATAAGCACTGGATCCAAGCGAAAACGTTAGCATCAATGCGAAGGTTATTTAGTTTCAACAAAAGCAACCCGTATGAGTCTTTGTCGAACGCCTTCGAGGAATCCAAAAATACGCAGTCTATCCGGGACCCCCTATCAAGAACAGAGTGCAAGTCGTTAATAAATAATAAAAGATGGGTCTCACAGGAAAATGATGTTCGAAATTTATGTTGAGCCGCGTTGAAAAAGAGGTTAGACTCCAAAAAATAACAAGCTGAGAATAAATGACATGTTCAATTTTTTACATGGTGTGCTAGTGAGTGAAATCTGTTCATAGTTGTTTTTCCTTCTTTGTGCAACGGAACCACCTTCCCAACTTTCCAATCGTTTGGGAAGACACCAACACATATATGTTCTAAATCGGTTTAGGGTGCCACACGAATATTTTATTACGGTGATTGTCCTCTTTATGAACCCGCTCCCTTTAAAAAAAGTTAGGAAACCTAGTTCACGACGTCTTTGTGTTTCTTGCAGTACACATTTATTACGGAAAAATATATTGATTACTTACATTTTTCGCCATAGAACGAAGTAATAAAAATTAAACATGTCTTGTATTCCGTAAAAAGAAGACGGGCTTTTTCCTTTTGGAAATATGGACGAGTCCGCCCTAAAAAAATGGTTATTGACTTGTGAAATACAAATTCCCATAAATATTTATATAGATGTTTTTAACATAATTACAAAAGAAAACTACGAGACTGGTGTAGAAAGGTAAACCGGACAGACATGAAGTATCAAACACAGCTGCAATTTCATTTCACAAGTAACGTCTTAAATGAAGTTGAAAGACAGAAAAGAAAAGAAAAACACAAAATACAGAAAAAACATAAAACTCAGCCATCAACTTTGCATGTTGTGGTCGCAACAACCTGACCAACAAAAATATAAGGGGCTTGTTTGTGTTTTTTTTTTCACCAACACACAAAGAAACTCAAAATAAGTAAGCCAGTAGAAATAATGTTAATTCCACTCCTAGCGCAAAGATTTCCTGCATTTCCTCAGTTCAGAATAATTATCTACTTTGACCAAACGTTTGTGTTTGAGTTTTTCCTCAAAAGACAACACAGGTCAAATGTCACAAAAGAACAAAATTGTTACATTCTGCTAAATGTTAAGACAATTTCGAGTAATTGTACTGCTTCTTTACACGGCGTTCATGTTCAGATTGTAGACTTCAACCACAAAATTATTTTCCTATTTATGAAAGCAGGGTGACAATACTATAAGCACTCTATCAAAAAGATATGTATTGACTTAGACAATGCACCAACAGAAGCTTAATTTGGTGAATAGTTTGAAGCTAACTGAGGCATGAGATTTATATATCGACTTGCGCCATTCTTTTAAGAAATTCGTCACTGTCTTGTCATAATATGTGCTTAAGTAAAATAAGATGTTTTAAAGGAATAACTAATTGTGCTTTTTAGCACTACACTGGATGCACACATTGATTAGCAGGCAGTATACATGTTCTGTTTATCAAAATGAGTGCCAGAACACGAGCGCAGGTTTGAGATTTATTTTAATTTTAATAATTTGATCATAATAATTTTAGTGCTGAATTTTACTATTCAAGTCGGTCGCAGCGTGGCGTAATATCCCGACAGATACCCCACCCCGAAGATAGACCGACCATATTTTGGGCTTGATTTGCTCCTTTTTATTCCCAGAAACATTGAAAAAAAAAATAACTTCTACTTCTAGCCGATGGCAGTGGCGGATTCAGATAGGGGGGGGGGGGGGGGGGAGGGCTTGAATGTACTGACTCCCCTCTTGAATTAAACTTTTGTAAACATTCAGGGCCGGCAAGCAATGTGTGTGTGTAGGGGGGGGGATGGTCTCGAAGTTCTGAAACGCTAATTCCCCCCCCCCCCCCAACACTTTCTAGAGACACCTGCGCCCGCTCCTGCAATGGTCACTCCCGCATAAAAACAGCGTTATTTAACCCCGGCACACGATAAGCGGGGATTGCTGACTGGGAAGGACAATGTAATTCGGTTCAGCGCCCCTTCCTAAAACTGCAAGTTTTGAGGGTCACAAAAACTTAAACTAGCACTCTTTTTTTCATCTTATTTTTATGGCACACCAAAAGTTAGCCCATCCCTTATTATGATCCGATTAGCTATCGATTTTGGGTGAGTTATCTCTTTGGATATTATGGCAAGCAGATTATACTATTTTTTGGCGTTTTTAGTGGAGTCATTTAGCTCTGCTGTAGAAATCAAATAAACATTTTGACCGTGTGCTTATGTGAACTGTGTCGAATCTCTATGAACTGTCAAAGCTTTTAAAAATATTGGGTGATCAAACGCTTATTATCTGCATTACCTAATTTTCGTGGAATTCGTAATTCTGAACGTTGCTTGGTTTTGCCATTTTCAAGGGCCACCGCATTAACTGTACCATTCCGCCGGCTGCAAAAAAGGACAAATAGAAAAACTATGTTCACAATGAAAAGGCAACCTCTCCTACGCGTGATTAACAACCCAGCGAAAAAATTAAACGATCTAAGTGACGTTTAAAGCCTTTGGTATCAAACGCTTAAAAGTTTAAAAAAGAAAAAAAAAGAGGTTACGTCGGTGTGAAGTTATAAAATATACAATTCCTGTGGAAATACAAGCAAAGCGACGCGCAATGATTCAAAAACTTTTTGCTAAATTTATTTATTTATTTTTTAGTACCCTCAGGGCCCAAAGATGTTATTGACTTCCGATCCGAGCATTTTAAGGAATGTCAAAATAAATTAGAGGCCTCATAAAAAAAAAAACATGTCCGAACGTCCAAGAATACAAAGAAAATGTTTCCATACTTTGTCAAGGCAAAAACCACTTTAACAAACTAACTTCTGTGCTTAAAAACAAAACAGGAATATACGGAGAGTGTTAATCACTCCTCATGAAAGGTTGGTGCCGTGTCATAAAAGGGACCACATACGGCAACACATGCCGGGAGTCATAGCATGCGTGGTCTCGTGGGAGAGTGCTGAAATCAGACATCGTTAAGCAGATTCGCCTTGAATTCACAATATGGACATATCATTAATTATTAGAGTCAAATCAACCATTTTTATTTACAATGATGTCTTTAATAAAATTTAAAAGCCGGGGCATCTTCATACTAAATTACAAATTAAATTACAAATTACAAACTAAATTACAAAAAAAAATAGCGCCTGTTTTGTCCACATTTTCGTCTATCCTTGTTTTAGCTCTATTTGCAATTTAGTATATATAACCAACTAGCCCACCAGAATATTTTGAGGCATCTTCATATATTAAGCACATCTAGCCAGCTAGTTGGTTGCACATAGTGATATATTAAAGCAAAAAACGACGAACATCTGACGGGCTATTTGGTTGTACATATTGATATATTAAAGCGCAAAACGATGAGACAGCAAAAGGGATAAAAACCGCCGGCAAGCAGTAATGCCATACATTCGTCGTTTATCTCACAACCTAAAGAAGATTGCTTATAGGTATCAAGTCAAGGTTCTCCTTTCTGCACCGGACAAACTAAAGCGGTTGTGTCCAAGGATCAACAAACGCCAGGTGCAGAAAGCCGAGTGTTAAATATCAAAAGAAATACATCGAGTGCAAGTGTGGAGCGGTGTACGAGATATTGTTTACTTGCGTGAAAGTGTATGTGGGGCAATCAGGACAATGTGTCAATGACCACATAAGAGAACACGTCCTATCTCTGAAGTCGTCACCACCGGGCCACAATGCCAAACATGTGAGGGACTGTAAGTGCTCCGCAATGTTTAGCAACACCAGAGTCTTAAAATGTTTCAGGGCTAAGAGGACTCGTGAGCTGTACGAGGCACAACTAATTTTGTCCAGTGGGAATGCCTGCGTTAGCGCGCCGTCGATTTGCCATGACTCACAGAGAACTCAATTACTTCAGTCTCATGACATGAAGAACTCCGACATGCTATGACCTTTTAGTTAATACTCTAATCAAACTTCATCTTTTTTTTTATCAGCATCTCTGTTTTCGCGTTTCCGTGCATTTTTCTTTTTCAACCAGATTTTTTTTAAATCATTTTTTAATTAATTTTAATAATGTATTACTAAAACTGAAGTACCCTGAGTAATTTCTGCTTTAATTATGTAAATATAATTTACTTCACTTACTCTTTCGTTCTTTTTTTTTCGCATTTTGATAGCGCCCTGAACATTTTTCTTCACCTTCTCTTTAGGTAGTATTAAACGTCAGTTGTCAATTTGCGCTCTTGCCTGTCTTCCTCGTTTTTCCTTCCTCGTTGTTTTGCCGCTTTAATATATCAACATCTTCATGTACATTTCTTTTTAGGGTCTCGTTTTTTCTCTTATTCTTTATGTTTTGTGGTGTTAATCTTAGACATTTTTGCGTCCGGCATTTGAAAACTTAAGAAAACATATAACTAATAAAACTAGCTTTCCGAAAGATTTTAACACTGAATGAAAGCTTCATTTTCTACTTTAAGAAACCCTTGCATTAGTCGTTAAGCTTCAATGTTTACATTTATATGTTGATACAGTCCTTTCCCTCCACACATGCACATCACCGCGTCTTTACGTAGCCGTAGGCTACTTTAAAGGAGCTGTGCAACAGTTTCGGCTTTGCTGAAATAATTTGGGAGTTGGTGTCTCGACCTTTCTGAAGTAAAGAACAAAACACTGCGTTTGCCTGCATGTCCCAGTTTTGATCTTAAAAATGGACAAAGATTGAGGTTTTCGGCACCTCTCAACTCCTTCATTATCTTCCGAGTCAGGTGCACTGTGACGTCAATGGGGGTCGCGCGGGGTTCCGGTGAAGCTCTCTCTCTAGAGCCATCAGTGAGCGGCGGGAACTTATCCGCTCGCGAACACGTGACCACGTGCTGGCGGGCGCAGCGCGAACAATATGGTGAAAGGAGGAGTCTCATCCGCGTCGGCCATACCCGTCCGGCTCTGTTCCCCTCCCCCTTCGGCTTTTGGCGGCTGCTCCCGGTAGCAGATAGAGCTGACGGTTTTGTGAGCCTAGGATAGATGGCGCCATTATAACTCCGTATAATAAAAGTTTTGTCGATGATACCAGGTTTTTGACGAATGTATATTTATGTTTTAAGGACAAGATTTATAGAAAAGTTACCTTTTATCGAGCAGGTATTCGCACAACTTGCTATCTTTCTACAAGACCCCCCACTGACGTCATGCCGCGTATTTCTCATAGCTGCCGCTCGCGGCTGCAGGTCGGGGAATATTCTAAATTTTGCCTCGCGATTACACGGCGGAATCGCAACATTTCGAAGGAAGGTTTTCCGTCCTTTGTGAGAAGATGAACAATGCCAAAAGTAGAAGATGCCAATTCTTTCAACGTTACAATCGTTTCACAGCTCCTTTAAGTGCGCAAATTCGCTCTCAAATATTCAATGTCACGTATCTCTTTAGCCACTTTTACAAGGCTCACACTATGTCAAAAACAACGCCGGAGCTATGGGATATCTTTTAGATTTAAGACGATACATGAAGAAATCAATTTCAGGTCAGATGCAAAAAAAATTGTGCGAATGCATAATGAGGCTGCTCTACTTACGTACAGTTTCCTTGTAAATCTGTATCATATATTGTCATATTGAATGTCTTAGTGTCATTATCGAACGAGTGGACTTCAATCCCGCAAATTGACCTTCCAGTGTGGGGTGTCGTTAAAGCCAACTGCAGCTTTGGGATATCTAGCAAAACCTAAAAGGTGCAGATACTAAATTATTGTTATGATAAGTATAAATAAAACATTAAGAAGAAAAACCATAATAATCAATCAATCAATCCATCAATATTATTGCGTGTCCAGGAGCAATCATTCGGTCTTGGTACTGGCACACCGGACATTCAAACATTTAAAAACAAGGAGCACACTCACATTACAAAATAAAATATGAAAATTATAGCTAGACAGAAATGCACAAACAGCAGAATCAGTGACACGTAAAATTAGAAGGCAAATATTTATGTCGGAAGATCATACGTTGGTGCGCCGTGAAGAAGATGTATATAGTCGGGAGAGTACATCCCGCAAAAAGAAGAGAAAATGAAGCGTAAACTCTCAAAGCTTGCAAATATTAGTGACCACGTAGCCCTCATACCACTTGTAATCATTATAGCGTAGCTCAAAAGTGATAGTAAAATGTCGGCTACATGTGCTTCAAGAGTAAAACAACGTGCTTGCAAAGACACACAAAAAAAAAGAAAATTCGTGTGCGATTCACTGTAACATCTGAGTTGCTTTCAGTTCTGCCTTAATTGGCCTTAAAGCTCTCGGCCAGATTATATGGTGAGCGAGTTCGATAAATATATCGGCCTGCACAGAAACGTGGAAGGAGGCATGTGTGTCGTAGCGCGTCTTCAGTCGGCGGCACTGCACAGTGCACATCCGGGATTCCTTCGGTAGGCAAATAATCCCTGATGTCAGTAGAGGTAGTCTCCAGGCAATTTTCCTTACGAACATTGCCCGCCGACGTGGTAACGAGGGCACCACACTCAGCTGGCTTGCGCCACTTCAGCAAACGACAAGGCCCCTGTAGGACTCCTTCGGCCTGCGATGTCAGCGTGACACGCTTTCTCTTCGTCGCGCAGTGAACACACGAGCAACGCCTGTTCCCCAGAACATCTCGCTGATTCTTTCGTAAGCCGCTTGTTGTCTTCATTCAGGGATGCAACTTGGTCGGTCAGAAAGGAAATCCCCTTTAAAACGTCACACCAGATAACTTCAGTCAAGAGGTGTGACGGAACCCAATCATTTTAATAAGCGTTTTCTGATTTGACCTCCAAAGCGTCGAGGAGTAGGGGGTCGAGTAGCCCAGGGGAATGTTCAAAGTCGGGTTCCTTGGCAGCCGAACGCGCGAAGTACGAAGAGATGGGCGAGGGCGTCCCCTTTTCCGTCCGCGCACTGTCGCCGCCGTCGCACTGGTTGTCGTCGTCGGACTCCTCACTAGCCCTAACGACCCTTCTTTAGGGATAGCTGCCTACGAAGAGTTGTTGCAGTGAGAACATCAAAAAGGCTCACCCCCTGCTTGGGAGTTGGAGTTATTTAGTCGCGAGCATTAGGTACCTCTGATGAGCGCGGTTGCAGCACTCTGAGCAGCAAAGTATAGCCTGCCTACCAAAACCAACGCGGAGACGGATACAGCATGCATTCTTACTGGGCGGCATCTCGGCCCAGTAAGGACGCGTAATAATAATAATAAGTAACACGTAATAATGAGTAATGATAAGTAGTAATAACAATATTAATCTTTCCGAACACAAACACATTCAGCAAAATAAAATGAGAAATAGACATGAGGTAATTAGTGAGCGTTAGGGTCCACCACCATAGCATGCTTCACAATTTCTCTGTAGATGAAAATGCTTGTCAGTACAACAGGATTGCAAGCCTGGGGTCTTTAACTTGCATCACGCAGTTGTGATAGACAGCATCCCGGAACGATCAATAACCACATAAAAGCAGGAAGGAGTGGAACCTAATAGTTCGAGCCCAGTGCTCTGCTATGTAAGTTTTGGGCTGTACTAACTCCAAGCTGCGATTCGCCAACCTCTAGAAACATTTCGATGGGCTATCCAAAATATGAACATTAAAAATGTAGTCAACTGTGTTTTTAGAGCGCAGCTCCTAAGCCTGTTTCAGATCCAGTGACTGTGCGAAAGAAATCGGTGCGACAGCCGACGCAGCGAGTGCGGTCACAATGTTTGGTTTCACATGCTCCAACAACCATGCGATTTCTGTCGGCGCGGCCGGCTCTTTCACCCAAGGTTGGTTGCAGCGGACACGGACGCGACGCGTTTGACTTTGCCTAAGATACAACAAAAGCGTCTTAACAGAAATGTTCTACGAATACAATGTGTAACTAGAAATTCCTAGTAATTAAGCATGAAACCAAAAGCTTCCAGGTGTCTAAATTTATTTACGAATACGCAGGTATTGCGGATGACAACTGGCAAATGAACGGCCGGTTGACTAAAAAGTGATCGCACCGACTCTGCGAGAAAATGCCAACTTGGTGGAAACGAGTCGCAGAGCCGCTGCGACAGTGGGAATGCAGTTTTAATCGCGCATTTACAGGAAATCGCACCGATTTCGGACGAGAATCTCAGTATGTGAAACAGCCTTTAGGCGCTCGTTACCGTGTTTTGCGGCGTCGGGCGTCGCCATCCCCATCGGCGTCGGCGTAACCGGAAGAGGAGGAAGTGAGGAGGGAAGGGGGTGAAGGAGAGGGGAGAAGAAAAAGAGGAGGGTCCTCCATACCTTCCCCTCTACCTTTTGCGTACTCTCTCCTTCTATTCCTTATATAAATATATTATTTAAAATTATATATATGTATATATATGTTTATTTATTTATCTACAAAGAGGTCTGACGAAGCACTCGATATGGGCCTGTGTAGTTTGAGAACAGTTTCTCGGAGACCGGGTTTGCGTTGTAGAATCCACAAAAAGACGAGATCGCCGGGTGTGAAAGAAGTTCGGTGAGATCAGGAACACACCCCAGGATTTTATTTTGAAGGGGGGTCCAAAAACATGCTTAGCCCCCCCCCCCCCATATCGAAGCACGATGCTCCCAATGACGAACCAGGGGGAGCTCGGTGATACGGACGCTCACGCAAAGATTAGCGAGGCGCTGTTAGGGTAAAACAGGTTAAGCTGCATTGTCAGTTTTTAAAACGGAGCAGGTTCCATTTACAGGAATGCGGGCTTGGTGGCTCATTGTTCTACTGTCGTCGTAGTTGCGGCCCACCAACTTTAAAAGCTTCCTCACCGCACACAACTGCCACCCCCCCCCCCCCCACCTTTTTTTTTTTTTTGAGGTAGCACTGCATGACCAACGCGTGAAGGCCAGGCAAAACGCAGGGATAGCTATAGACCAGTTGACTTAAACAGCGCAATTAAGGTAATGAAGCAATAGACAAAAGGGACGAAAGAGCACTGGCTCACAATTGAGGTTTTTAGAGGAGAGAAACACTGTAGAGAGCCCATTGTAGAAGAAAGGAATTGTACCAAAAATGAGTTGCTGGGCAAGATGGTTCGACAAGTTGACTTAAAACTTACTCGTTTTGGTACTATAAACCAGTGTCTGCTCTGTTCCATGGGCGCCGCCATGTTTCTTTATGCTGACTTATTGACAGTGTAAAGGGGGGGGGGGCGGGCTGCGCTTTTTGCGAGACTCCGTTTTTTTAGAAACCTTCGCAGATATCGTAGTGCAAGAACGTCGGAAAGGCATAGTCAAGAAAGCTCCAAGAATAGCACCAATGCAAGAAGGCTGTGAATATCAAAAAACCTTGTTTTACGCGCAGCCCCTCTCTAATATTAATAATAATCTCAAGCCTGCGCTTCAGATTAATATTTCACGTTTTTATCACTGGGGGCTAGGGTTTCAGACACTGGTCTATAGGCAACCTGCAATGCTCTTTGTTTTCGCGCTATCTAGCGATTGAAGCAACAAACATTGGGTATGCCTGGGAGAGGCGGCTGCATTGTTCAAACATGAGCTATTACTCTGGTGGTGCCTCTATAGCCTAGTGTCTGAAGCAAGAATTACTGGGCAGGCCAGGAAACCGTGACCGCATGACATGAAGGTACGGCGAAAGCTGCGGCCTGGCAGATCAATCGGAACGTGACTACGTACGTATCACTGGAGTGCGCTTTCACTGCGGAGAACCACCATGCTATTCGTTGCGTCATGCTCCAGTATGTGTGCGTTGCGCTCATATACATAATGGATTTGACAAGTTATACCGAGGCAGGGTATACCTTGGGCTCCTACTCTACTGGCGCCACCTGGCCGTTACCGGCAGGCAATACTGTCACAAAAAATTAAGCATAAAAGGAATCTTCACTTTGAAAATGAAGAGCAACCTTCCTCGCACAAACCCTAGCGGCCCGTATATAGGGTGAGGGTACGTCTGAACAATGACAAAACCAAAATTTATTATCTATTAAAGGTTTAACAAATTCGTGCTAAGGAAAGAGAGGTCGAAGGAAAGAGTCTTATCTTTACTAGGCCGCTTTATCTTGCTGTCCGGTCCAAAAGCAGCAGCGGCATATTTTCAGGGCAGGGATGGGCAGCATTTCAAATACAAGTATTTAAAATAGGTATTTAAAATACGCTGTGTATTTTGCATTTGTATTTCATTGCAAATTGGGTGATGTATTTGACGTGTGTATTTAAATACTAAAACGTGGGTATTTCAAATACAATTGTAATTAAATACAACTTTGTGGGCGAAAATGCATTCCTCAAATTTATTGTCACTCGAGAGCAGGAAGAAAACTGCATTCTGCACCGAATGCAGTGTCTCTCAATCAAGCACAAGCGTTTAGTGACTTTGTGATTACGGTGCTACTCCAGGGCAAGAATAGTGACGAAATCGACGTTCACAGGCAGACTGGCTAAATAAGTGCCTTTGACAACTTGTGATGCTTTCCAGCCTGATTTCTATCTATATTTTTGCCTGGAACATTCTAAATGCGCGGGTCGTCCAGATTTTCGTAACTGGTGCGAGTTGCAACAATAAAAAATTCTCTAGCTAGTGCTGCGCGTCTTGGTCGTCTCGGTTCTTTGTTGGTCTATACCAAAATGTAATCGACAAAAAAGCTGCTTGAAGCTCTGTACTTTTTTCACCTATTACGTCCAAGCTGATTACATTTTTTATTATATTTCTATTACGTTACTAGAGCCTCGCACTCTAACTCCCGAGTGTGCGATGAAAAATTAAAATGAGATACCCAGAAACCCGTTGCAGGTGCCCTGAAGTTGCTGACGCAAATTTTGAGGACTGTATTTGGAAAAGTATTTGGAGGAGAACAAATACATTTGGTTGTATTTGTATCTTGTACTTAAATCCTTTTCTGGAATGTAATTATATTTGTAATTAAATACATTTTTGACGAAATATTTCGTATTTGTATTTCGATACATATTTTCATGTATTTTGGCCATCCCTGCCTCAGGGCAATGAGAAGTCGTCAGTCCGAACTTGTTGTTCCGTCACTCGGAGAAATAGCATCACACACCACACACAAACACGCAAACCACACGCCGAACGAGAAAACGAACTTGAATACCCTTGCCCCTATGCGTATTGAGGATATAAAGGCTCTACGGAGTTTCTGATGTTCCGTGCAACAAAAAGATTATTCTAAGAACAAATTGCATCGGATGCCACCTCGCCATGCAGAGCAGAAAGCAAGACGGACTTCATCGCATCCGTGAGCGAACACCAATAGGGGCGTCTCGATGCATGGAAATTTTACGAAGAGAGGGAAACTTCGCCAAAAATAGGGAAATGTTAGGCGTCCAATTAAAGAGGTAAGAATATAAAAACGCCCGACACGTCTACACTACAAGCGGTCATCCTCTGACCGAAGGCCCTATTCCCAAACGTCTATCGTCTCCTCAAGATTTTAGCGACTCTGCGCGTAACAACGGCTGAAGCTGATTTCTCGTTTTCTTCACTACGACGGTTGAAGCATACCTGAGAGCGTCCGCTTCGAATGAGTAACTGCTCGGTCTAGTGCTTTTGAATCTTCACCGCGACATTGAAGCTCAAGTGGTGGACATCGTGGATATTCTTTGCCGTGAAGACAGGCGGCTGTATCTTAATGTGTAATCGGTTGGCATAAATCAAATTATAAAGAGAACATGTAAATTGCTAGTCACAGTTACTTTTTATTCGCAGTAATCTCTAGTCGAAAGCACGTAATTCTGATCAGTACACAAAGAGTCCGTTAGCGCAGCGCCAACAGTTGCTTACAATGCAAATGCTTCAACATTTCATTTCATATTTCTTATATCACTTACGTCGTTCTATATTACCACCATGTGTGCGCGTTATTATGTCCAGTTTAGATAAATTTAAGCACGTATTACAGTGAAGATAGTTTGTTATACTTTGCCTTGAAACTGCCATCCTTCACCCAACAAATGTTTCGAAATATCCGTTCCTTATATCTTTGAGATCAAGTTCCGAATCCCATCAAATAAGCATGAATGAAGAAATATTGCCTATTTTATTTATTTAAGCATTTTGTACCCCCCAAACATTCCTCCCGAAAGCACATAAGTTGGACATAGTCCGCGCTCGTCTTTTGCTCCGTGACCCGTGCAAGACCACCTGCGTGAGCAGGGTAGCAAGCCGGCACAATGCGGGCACCGGAAGAGGGGGGGGGGGGGGGGGGGTAGCTTCGGCATTTCGGGGAAGAGGGAGGTTTCGACCTCCAAACCCCCCCTTTGCCTACGCTACTGGGCGAGACGTGTCAGCGTGGTGGCGTTTCTGGTGTATTTGCAGGTGTGTCGTGCGTGCTCGTGCCTGCCGGCAGCATTGTTCAGCATGATCTCTGATTTCGGTGTGTGGAAAACATTCATAATGACCGGGTGAATAGGGCAACAAGCGATACAGTGTTGAACAGACCTGCCTCCCGTAAACAAGGAAAAATTGTGAAAATTGAGAACTGCTTTGAACGGCGGTGTTGTAGGCGGAGGTTACCAACTGAAGAACATTGTCGCAATTATGATAATTGGGGGAAATGTACATGGCAAGCCTATCAGCGGGTGTTCGGTTGAAGCGTTCGGTCATGCCGTTCGTCTGCGGATGATATGGTGACGTTGTTCGATGGATGACACTGTCAGCTCGCTAGACCTCTTGGATGATTTTAGAAAGAAGCACAGTTCTACGGACGCTGAGGAGTTCTTTCGGGGCACCATGACGGAGAACAACATGGTTCAAGGAAAAGTTGGCCACATTTTTCGCTGTGGCGGTAGGGAAAGCAGCGGTTCCAACATAACGCGTTAGGTGATCAATGGCGACGATAATCTAGCGATTGCCGGAGGAGGAGTGAGGAAGTGGGCCAAAAAAATCTATTTCTACACGGTCGAATGCTTCCAAAACGCATCGTGGATCTTCGTAATATATATAATGTACCCAGGAGTACGAGGTCTATATCTGTACATAGAGATATTTCTTCCCCAAATTTTTAGCGCGGTATATCTCAAAATAAAATAAATATAGCTCAAGATCTGCGCTCAAATGTCGCATTACAAAAATTGTTAAACGTCTTTGAATCGTTTTTCTAGTTAAAAGCGGAATATATTTTAGTGAGCCTAGCCGTTTCCGTTTAATTTTTGTAATTTAATTTGGAATGTAAAAAAGAAAGGTAATTAAAATTGTTCCACAAAGTATTGTATTTATTCTAAGTAAGACCTAAAGGAATTCCATATTTTTATTCACGGGAAAACCTTAGTTGTCCATTTTCCACGACATACTTGCTAGAAAACCTCACAATTGTTCTTTTCACCAAAAGTATTATTTTTCAATTTTTTTTTTCAAATATAACGAGCGAACGCCGAATGGCCGGTAAACCGGCGCCTTATCGTGGTGTAAAACCGCACGCCAGAAAGACTACGCGCGTGTGGCGCAGGGCATAAGACTAGCCTTGCTGACTTGCTGTTTCAGGCCACGATAAGGCGCTGATTTACCGGCCAGTCGGCGTTCGCGCGATATTGTAAAAAAAATCTGGAAGTTGTACTTTTAGATATTTAATGTCCTGCATTTCAAAGGTCTCTTGATACTCACTATGCAATATGCAGGAAAACCGGTGACCCCAACTTTATAGATGACAATTAAGGACTAGGCAACAAAGTTTAAATATAAGACAGCGCAATCAACAATCCTGCGCTATTATGTATGTGACTTGTTTAGTTACGGTACGCCAATATGTTACTGATTTTTACTGAAATTTCTATTTTGGTGAGCCGCGGTTATAGACTGCTATATTTAATATAGCGATTTTAATTGTGTCTCGGTTACAATTACAATAGTGATATAAATTAAAAGTACTCACTTGAAGGTTTTGATACATGCAAAAGAGTGCACTGTCGTACGCCAGTGGAACATTTTGTACGGTAAATGTTTCAGCTCCCTCTCTGCATTCACTAGTGACGTAATTATTCGGTACCTCGGGAAAAGAGTAAGTGTGATAAGGACTGATCAATAACGCTATGCATAAGTAAATAACTTTCAGCAAACTCATTTTGTTAGAACTGAAAGCCCGCCTAAGCTTTCTCACACTAGCGCTAGAAAATTCAGTCCTGCTAAGGATGGAAAGATACTAGCTGAGGCCAACATTAAATATGTTCTATGACATAAGATTTCTGTTTCTTGACTTTAGTTTTTTTGTAAGCATACATATAGCAGGTGTTGCCTTACAAAAATTGAAAAATAACCTTTCTTGTTAGCCCACACGGGCTAACAAGAAAGGTGATTTTCATTTTATTCAGAGTGCGTCTGCTATGTGTATGCGTCCAAAACTCTCAGGTCAAAAAAACGGGAATCGTCGGAGTCAGCTTAACAACTTGCACAGAATGGTGACCTTTTGTGTGGGTATGGAACAGTTTAATGCCAAGATACACACAGCGTGGCAAGACCTTCCATTGTCACTTCAATTGTATTAGAAGAAAAAAAGCGAAAGAGCACTTTGGTTGAAATATGACAAGATATTTATGAGCAACCATATGAACGGGGAAAGTGTCTAAGCACGATATAGTTTTTTTTTTTTTTTATTTAAGTACACCGAATGGTGTTCGTGCGTGATGCTCTGCTGAATAGCGTTAAGGGTAAAACCGTGAATATCAGCAAGCGTGCTTTAGCGTACTCGAAACGCGTGTACATGATTATGGTAAAAACAGCTCTATAAGACAAGGACAAATAGAAGGATCATACACAACTGGACAGGCGCTGAACCACAACTATGTGATTTACTAGAACAAAACGAAGACAAAACACAATAAAAACCTCCACACGTACGCCCGGCACACAGCTCCCATTGTACCAGGTTGCCGATGCTCCGTTTCACCATATGTTGTACCGCAGCGAAGGCTAAGAGCGCGAGCTCATAGCCTTGGCAGCTGCCCTTAATGCACGACAGCTTGTGTCGCCGGTATCTGTCTCAAAGCAAGGAGCTCGCGCATGTAGGCTTTCTTGCGGTACGTCATAAGGTGGAATGGAGTATAGTTCATGGTGGCGCGTGCGGAATTTTCATCGTCCTCCTTAGAAATTTAAACTATTTTTTTTTTTATAATGACAAAGACCCGTGATTTACACATTCGCTTCCTCCGAGTTGTCTTGTTTTTACGCCTGCCTATAATTATGGATTTGTTGAAAGACGGTTGACACTGGCACTCTGTGAAGTGAATAGACTACTTTCATAAATCAGTCGCCCTGAGCGTTGCATTCACTGATTCCCGCAGTGCATAACGTGGTATTACGGAGCGATGAGGCTCCTCCAGTTTTGGAATTGGTCCATTGGAAGGTGTCCTCCAACTGTGCCTCTTAGAGACCAAAAGTGTTCTCGAAGACTGTTGTTCAGGCGCCGCCCTGTCTTGCCAATGTAGTAGCTGCCGCTCCAGAGTGGGATCTTGTACTCAACTCCCTAGGAACAGGGTACAAATCGCTTGGCATGCTTATTGGTGAACGGAGTGGGGAGGGAGCCTCAGGTTCATCTTCGAAGTTACAAAGGACAACACACTTCACTGTATTTGAAGGTAAACATGTTCGGCAGATATCTGCCTTGTTGGGTGAATTTAAATGTAAAGAATAAAGAAATACGCCAACCAAAAAGTCGAAAAATTGTCCCAACGTTTCGAAACAGTTCGTTTCTTCCTCAGGGGCGACTAAACGGGATAATAGCTTCTTTGTCTTTCTTTGAACTGGCTATCTCTTCTTCTTCATTGTCGATTGCTGGTTGTCTTCGTTTCGCCTGCGCCGTCTTGATTGTATCTCGTAACCCATGAACATATAAACTGGGTAAGGTGCCTAGAGACCTATTGATGTTATTTGTGGTGTTTTGAATATGCCAGGATTCTATCAGCTGTCTTCTGCGTAGGTTCGTCTCAGTACCCAGAATGCTTGCATCTTGAAATCCGATACGGTGGTCATTAACTTCACAGTGCTCCGCCAGAGCACTGCGTTCGCGGTCGAAGTTGCGTACGTCATTTTTGTGTTGACGGAGCCGTTCTTGGAAGTTTTTAGTTTCTCCAATGTAGGAGGCGGGGCATTGGGTGCAGGATATTTGGTAAATTACACCCTGGGCCCTTTCCTTGGGTGGACGACTTTTTGGCCGAGGTAGAAAACGCCCGAGTGTGGTCACAGGTTTATGGGCCACGGTGACGTGTTCTTTTGCAAAAATCCTGGATAGTGTTTCACTAATCCCTTTTGTGTAGGGTATGCTGATGCGTGCAATCGGTTTAGGACGTGCAGTCCCAGTAGGTTGCCCGTCTCGGCGACTGCGGTTTAGACGGTGAGTGATCTGGCGAATGAAGTTACCTGTGTATCCATTATTTTTTAGATCACGGGTGATCGCTTGCTCCTCTTTCCTTTTGTCTGTTGCAGATGAACATATATTCTTTGCCCTCATCAGAAGTGTCGAAACTACTGACGCTTTGTGACTTAGCGGGTGGTTTGAATCAAATTGGAGGTATCGTCCCGTGTGCGTAGGCTTCCTATACACTGTAAAATTCAGTGCCTCACCCTGTCTTTTGATTAGCACGTCAAGGAAAGGTAAACAGCCGTGCATTTCGAAACGTTGGGACAATTTTTCGACTTTTTGGTTGGCGTATTTCTTTATTCTTTACTTCACTGTATGTATACCTTTTCCCCCTCTTTGACGACCATCATATTTGTTGGACCTACATGTTGTCCTCGTTCCAAGAAAGGTACGTTAGACCACTGGTCTACCCATTCCAAAATCATCAAGAGGGTTATTGCTCTCTCGATCATGACTTGGGGCAGCAATGAAAAAATTGAGCTTTCACACACTGGACCCGGAGGTGCTTGAATACACAAATTGACAGTCTGAGACGAGCGGGATTTCCATCGGCCTCATTATCAAATGTTGACGGCACCCTGTTGAAGAGTAAAAAAGACATCCAGGATATGAAACGCACTGCTGAAAACAGGAGACCTGTTGTCATACGCTACTTTGTCAGTGTGTCTCACAATTAAAGAAAAAGAATGACGGAGAGCAATTCGGAGTTCCAGTGCTTTCTTCAGTCCCCCAGAAAGCTAGTCAAATATGAGCCAGACTCAATGCAGAGGCAAAGCACACATAAAGACAGAAATGCAGGGCACCTTCCAATTCACTGCACGAAGAGACAATTGCCCAAGCAGCACGGATTTTGGCCAAGCATCTGCCAATGCCAGGTGATGATCTTTTTTGGCCAGTGGCCAGAGTGTGGCCATTCATTGGACAATGCTTGGCCGATGGCTGATGACCAGTGGCCATTGGCCAATGGCGATTGGCCAATGGCCAGATAAAGGGCAGTCACCGTCGAGTCTCTGGCCACTCTCTGGCTACTTGGCCAATGACCATTGCCAACCATTGGCCGATGACTGGCCAACACTGTGCTGCTTGGGAATGTCAAATGTCCTTTAACAACGCCATAATTATAGGTATACAAGGCAACTCGTGACGTTATAGAGCTCTACCACATCATCAGCGAAGGAAGCGATTGGGTAAGCCATGCGTCTGTGGCAGAATCAGAAAAAAAAGGGTTTGAATTTCTAAGGAGAACGATAAAGATTCGGCACGGGCAACCATGAACTGGGGGACCTGTTATCATGAGGCAACGTTACTAAAACACTCAGTTGGGAAACTCACCGTCGAAACCTTGGCCGCTGGCGTCCACCGAGATCAAGCTAAATACGACAACAGCGCCACTCTTTATCATTTGTCTGTACTGTGGTCACCTTGCGCTTTTACAAAGCATGTTTTTGCGTAAAAACAAACGGAAAAGACTCTTTTTGTATGAAATTTATTGGAGTTTAGTACAAAATGAAGGGGGTCTGATGTTTTTAAAATCTTTAGTTGCAAGGTTTTGCGGCACAATTAATATTGTTTTTATACAACCATGCCTCAGCGGTGCTTTCAGGTAGCGCGTCCCGACCTAGGTGCATTTTAACTTCGGTAGAAAGACGCGGCGCGTCCGTTGGGGAGACGGGGGTGGCACCCCTGTAACCTCTTCCGCTGTACCTGGTTCGGCGACAAAATGGCCGATTAAAGCTAAAATAGACGTCACGTGCAGTTCCTCGAGTGGCCGCTGCGGGAGAAATGGCGGCGTTGTGTTCGCCATTAGCTCGGTTCTGGAGGACAGATCGGGGACACTTTTTCAAAGCAGTCTCTATGGCAGTTTCCCAACTGAGTGGTTTAGTAACGTTGTAATGAGGCGTGCGTGCAGGGCGCTGGTGTGAAGGCTTTGTTGGATTTTTGTATTCGTTTTCTTCTAATAATTCATATAGGTGTGAGTCACCACCTGTCCAGTCGTGTATATTTCTTCTTTGTCCTAGTTTCGCAGCGCTATTTTTACGCTAATCATCTACAACTAAAACCTAACTCAATCATTTTCTTACTACTCAAAATGCTTCTAAAATGTTTGTGGCAAGCGGTAGCGAGATTACGTTTTTATAAAGAGTCTTAGAGATATACAAACTCTGCGCATTCCGAGACTAGGGGGAGGGTTAACTTTCCTAGGTAAATTACATATATTCATGTCAAACGTTACGCAGTGAGGAAATTGCTGTGTGGTTACTGCTTAAGGCACAACAAAATTATATTACGGACATGTGTTTGAGCGTATTCGTTGGCGATTTCTGATAAACAAGTGTTCCGGCAATCGTTTGATCGGCATTCCCGCGACAATGCAGCTGCAAAAGCTAATAAAAGAAGGCAGCAGATGGAAGAAAGATTTAACAAAACTAACATCAGTAATGAAGCCGGAGTTTGCCACGCGCGCAGCTGGCAAAGTAAGCAGCGTGGCCGTCGCCTAACGGTTATCGTGTTGCCATTCACGCGAAAAGCCAAGGTTCGATTCCTGGCCGCGGCTGCACATTTTTGTTAACTCTCTAACGTGATGTTCTGGTACATTCGAGAACAGTGTTGCTGATTCGAGGTTAGAATGTTATACGCGCCGAACCTTCTACGACGATTGTTCCAAAAACCCACGCGTGTACAAACAGCGCTCAGCGTGGCAAGCCGCAGTCAGTCTCGCCCCAGCGTTCGACTCTGCTGTTACACCGACTTCGACGCCCGCCACTCTCCGC